CCCCCCCTCCCCTCCCCCCTCTTTTTCGTCCTCTCGCTCGAGGGAGCCCAATGTACGCACTCGTCAGAGTACGCCTCACCAGGGGACCCAGGCACAGCCACTGCCCCGAGACAGGAGAGGATGGCCGCCGTGACACTGGTGGTCAGAGCAGCACTCGAGCCGAGGCCGGTCTTTCGCAGGCCCTCAGTCTGCAGATTGAGCAGCGGCGCGAAGGGCTCCACGGTCTTCAATGCCTCCAGGGTGGTCGGCTGTCCCTGCTGCGCAAGCTTCAGTCCCGGCAAAGAGCATTGCGTCAGATGGCACATGGTGATTATTGGCAAAAGCAGACCCGAGTTCATGAATGGACGCACGCGATAGCGCTGAGAGTAAAAGTCGTTGTCACCGCGAATTGTCAGCACCAGCTGGCCCATGGCCAGGCGATCGCGGGTCTTGTCCATGTCACCACCCAGGGCGAAGGCCAGCGCGTTGACAATGGAGATCTCCACATAACGATTGGGGCTCTGATCCGACGAGGGGCGAACCAAGCAGAGGGTCCCATTCGGACGCTCGGAGATCTGGTAGACACACTGCCAGTTGAATTGCGGGGACTTCGCCAGGATCGTCCAAGCCGGGCCGGCAGTGTTGATGGCGCAGGTCTATGTGCACAGAGGAGCAGCCGAGCCACGGGGCATGTGTTTCCACGCAGGGCCAGTTGACAAGGGTGAGTTATGCGCGCGAGGAGATGCAGCGAGGGAGGGAGGAGAGGCAAAGGGAGAAAGGTCCCAGGAGGGGAGAAAGGCCCCGAGGAGGGACAAGCACGCACAGTGTGGAAGCTGGCATCCGAGACAATCACAAAGCCGTCGTACTCACGCTCGGTGACCAGGTAGCCACCAGTAAGAAGGACCTTGCCCGGCGCCTGGGCCGTGAAGCTGCCAGGGGGTCCCGCATTCAAACCCCCCGGTACGTCCATGTGAGTGACAAGCGAGGCCGGAGATGCGCAAGGGAGATGGCACGCACGAAATGGAATCGCCAGCAGACATCGTGGCAAGTTGAGGAAAGCACGCAAGCACACAGACACACACACACACAGACACAGACACGCTCGGGCACACGCGGTGGAAAGGTGGGAGAAGGTGAGGGGAGGGCAAATGGCGGGTTGAGTGCCCCCCACCCGGCGGGGGGGTTGGCCAAGATCTCCCCCCTGGCCCTTCTGTGCTCGGGCCCCGGGGTGCGCCCAGTCCATTCGTTGGCATCTATATCCCCCACCGGGCAGGCATCTCGGCACGGGCACCGGGAAACCGGGCCCCGCCGGCCGGCCGCCGCACACCAGCGCGTCACCCAGGAACAGCCGCCAGCAGACGGCCTCTACTGGAGGGACCCCCGCCGCCCCCCCTCGTCCCATCCATGACCCCCTGACCCTCTTCTCCCAGGCAGGAGAGCCACAACGAAGCATCTGACACACACACACACACACACACACACACACACACGCACACATGCACACACACGCACACATGCACACACACACACAAGAAGGAACTCTAGTATATTGATATGACAACAAGCATAGAACACAGGGCATGCCCGATGGGGCCTTGGGGCAAACGCCACCGCCCCTCGCCGGATATATCGAGCTGCCTCTCGGCGTGCCCACACGGGAGGGGAAGCGAAGCATGCCTAAAAAATGCGGCCACTGGGCCACCATGCATATCTTTAGATGAAGTTCAGCACGGTCTTCAGCTTGCGCACCAGGTTCCACTCCTCCTTGGACACCTCGCTGCGGAAGTTGTCCTTCAGGACGTTGATCGACTCGCGAGACAGGCGACTGACGATCTCATCATTGGCGTCGAAGTGCCGGCCGAAGGTCTTCGGGTCGTCGGACTCGATCTTGATGGCCACGCTGGTGCCCTTCTTGGCAACAGGCACCGCCTTGTGGTTGACCTCGATGGCGGTCACGCGGCCGATCTCCACACAGTCACGGCTCGGGACACACAGCAGAGTCCCCACGCGCAGGCTGCCCTCCTTGATGGTGACACCGATGACAATCGGATCGCGCTTGTTGAAGATGGACGTCGGGACCACGGACAGGACACACGGGAAGATGGCCAGCGAGGAGAGATCCGTCCGGCGGCCGCTCTCCAGCTCCTTCATGTACGCGGTAAAGGCATCAAACAGGTGGTAGATGACATTGGCCGAGAAGACCCGCACACCGAGCTCCTTGGTCAGGGCCTCGGCTTCGCGGTCGATCTTCACATCGAAGCAGAGCATGGTGGCATACTCCTTCTGGTGCTCCAGCATGATGGATGCCCGGATGACATCCTTCTTGAAGATGGTCCCGATGGCCACCGAGCCGACGGGGATCTTCATCTGACGGAGGAACTCCAGCAGGGCCTCCAGCGACCCGAGGGTGGAAGCCTGGACATGGACACCACGCCCAGTGGAGCTGATCAGCTCCAGCAGGTGCGACACATCGGCCATCACCTCGCGCTTGGCCTGCTCCTCCGACATGCGCTCATTGATGACCAGCACACGGCCACCGGCCACCGCGCCTTCGAGATCCTGCGCGGCGATCTTGACACCCATGGCACCCTTCACCTCCGAGTGATGGATGAAGGGGGTCTTGACACGCATCTCCTTCAGCGGCTCCGGCGTCAGGAGCGACCGAATGCTGGTGACAATCGGCCCATTCAGACCGCAAACCACAATGCGATCCCCCTCGCGCAGGGTGCCATTCGAAAGGATCACATCAATGGTGGTGCCCTGGCCCTCCAGCATCTTGACCTCGAGAATGGTGGCCTCAATGTTCTCCTGGAAAGTGAGCTTCTCGGCCATCATCTGCTGCGACAGGCGCGACAGCAGCAGCAGCAGATCCGGAATACCCTCGCCGGTCATGGCGGAAATCGGGACCACGGAAATGTACTTCCGCTCGTCGGGGTTCTCGTTGAAGAGCGAGGCATTGAAGCCCTCCTCGCTCAGCTGCAGGATCACGCGCTTCAGGTGCCCGTCGAACTCCTGGCGAACGTTCTTCGTCTGCTTGGCGAAGGTGGCCGCGAAGCCGGCATCCGGCGTGGTCTTCCAGTCGTACAGGCGATCGATCTTGTTCATGGCCACCACGAAGGGGATCCGGCGCTCCTTCAGCATGCGAATCGACTCGAAGGTCTGCGGCTCGAAGCCGGACGTCATGTTGACCACCAGAATGGCAATGTTACACAGGTCCGACCCGCGAGAGCGCAAGTTCGAGAAAGACTCGTGACCCGGAGTGTCAATCATCAGCAGACCCGGCAGGCGCAGCTTGAAGTCACTGCCACGAGCGACGGCCGCAATCTTCTGCTCCAGGGCATCGCGCGGGATGTAGGTGGCACCAATCTGCTGGGTAATGCGACCATGCTCACCGGCGGCCACATTCGACTGGCGAATCTTGTCCAGGGTCTTGGTCTTGCCAGCGTCCACATGGCCGAGCACCACGAAAATGGGAGAGCGAAGCTCGTTGCTCTGTGTGGAGGGTGATGGCGGCGATGGTGGCGGCGATGGCAGCGGTGGTGTTAATCCAAGAGGGCGACGTCGGTCCCGGGGCAAGGCGGGAGGCAAAGGAGACGGCAGAGCAGGGACACGGAGGGGAGGATTGTACCTCAGCAGCCTCGGCCTTTGGCGAGGCAGGGGCGGCAGCCGGGGTGGCGATGGCCACCGGAGCGGCAGCAGGAGCAGGGGTAGCAGCAGCAGCAACAGCAGCAGGAGCAGCGGTGGTCACCGGAGCGGCGGCGGCAGCCTTCGGGGCCGGGGCAGCAGGCTCCTCATCGGACAGGAGATCTTCCCAGTCATCGACCAGAGCCAGCTTCTGCAGGTTGGCAGTTGCCGGGTCGACCTCGGGCTCGGGCTCGGGCTCAGGCGTGGACTCCCGAACGGCGGCGGCCGAGGAGTCAGCCGGGGTGGGGGTCTCCTCGGTGGTGTCAGCAGCGGTCGACGCGGCGTCGGCCTTGGAGCCAGGCTTACGGGTGGTAGTCGGACGCTTGCGGGTGGTGCGGGGGCGCGACTTGGGGGAATCGGCCGTCTGGGCGGCCTCCGGGTCCAGCAGACGGGCAAGGGCGTCCGGGGGCAGGGCAATGCCTGGGGTGATGTGTTTTTCACAGCGACAGGGGGGGGGGGAGCGATTGTTGGTGGGAGCCTGATGGAAGGGGAGGGGGGGAAGGGAGGGCGAAGAGAAAGGCAAAAGAGGCCGATAGGCCGAAGACACGCACCCTGAGCCTCCATGGCCTGGAGACGGGCGATGGCGCGAGCGCGCTCCTTCTTCTGAGCCTCGGTCATGTAGGTACCGGCCTTCTTCTGCTCCTCGATCTTGGCCTGAGGGAGGAGTGTCAGTACACAGCAGGAGAGACATGGGGCCGATCTCCAGCAGAAAGGAAAAGCATGGCAGCAGGTGGGTGCCATGGCGACCGTCAAAGGGTCGGTGGTTGGTGCTAGCGGACCTTCTCACGCTCGCGGCGCAGGCGGCGCTGCTCCTCGGCAAGCTCCTGGGCGGCCTTCTCGGCCTCCTCCTCGGCCTTGAGGCGGGCCTCCTCCAGGCGCTGCTCCTCGAGGAACTTCTCCTCCTCGGCCTTCTGGGCGGCAATGGCCGCCTATGTGATGCATCGTCAAGATTGTCAGGACAGCGCGAGGGGTTAGCCTTCCATTCATCAAACGAGATCGAGCTGGCCATCGTCCAAGCATGGCTGTGTGTACCTTCATGGCGGCGACAGAGCGGGGGGGTCCCGCGGCACGGCGGGGCGGCATGGTGACTTAGGGTGAAAAAATGAGGGGTAGGAAAACGGGGGGGGGGGACGGGAGGGAGAAAGGAAAGTGACAACCACCTGCTGGCTCGTTCTTGAGGGAGACAGGGGACCAGGGGAAAAGAGGAAGCACTAAAGGGAGGGAATGGGAGAGAGCCATGGACATGGTGTTTGGCGGGTAGGTGGCGCAAGAGACATCCGCGTTCTCCACGGTAGCGGCACGGCGGTGGCCGCGGCGACGGCGGCGGCGGCGGCGGCAGCGGCGCCAGCCGGGGGGGAGGCGACCGACGAGATGTGGATCGGAAAATTAGTGCACACCCAGGTATTTGTGGGTAGAGCGAGCGGGGGGGGGGGGGGGGCAGAAGCGCCGCACTCTCCGATCCGCTCTGGTCCTGTATCCGACCACAGCCACTGGAAAAAAGGGGCCAGGTGACAACCGTCTGACGGATGCGGGGACCATGCCCGGGCGCGACGCGGCATCCGTGTGTCTTCCAGCCATGCTAGCTCCACCAAGCCCGGTGTAGATAGCGATCAGAAAGGCCCCGGGATGATTGCGCACCCACGAACTTGCGCGTCCCCCCCCCCCCGGGCATAAACTGTCCCAGTCTTGTGGCGTTAGGAAGGCCCAGGGCCGGGGAGTCACGCTGACTCCACAGGGGCGATAATTGCCCAGCATCCTGGAAACTGCGGTATCCAACTTTCGAGAGGGGGGGGGGGGCGGACCAAACAGTGTAGGATGACAAGTATTCGCCGCGCCACTCACCCCGGGCAGCAGCTTCGTCAACCGGCTCGTTACTCGGGGAGCCTGCCACCCAAACCTGCTTGAGTGCTGGGGAGAGGGGGGCTCGCTGTCTCCTTGTCCCGAAGGGCGGGGGAGTTGGAGGAAGCAGGAATCGCACTGACACATGTGGCACCAAAGTTTTTGCCGAGTGCCGGCGGGCCATCTCCAAAAAGCGAACCGCATGGGGTTTATCCTAGAACTGGCACATGACAGCGGGCGAGCAAGGATTGGCATCTTGCTTTAGCTCCGGCAGGGAAGGCCCGACATCACACCACCGGCTGAAAACACAATTGAAAGATCACATGGCCCACTTCGTTGCCGCCAGCCCAGGACTCCCAAGCCAGCATGCAACGCTGATCCCCCCCCCCCGCCTGGTCCGTCCTCACCACGGGCGTGCCTGACCCGGTTCGGCCTGGCGGATTTCTAGATCACTCAGAGGGGGCCTCGTCTGCCCCCGCCCCC